CGCTCTTCTTAACGCACCCCAGGATCCCATTGAATATCTAGCCCACTCCCAAAGAATTCTGCAGAAAGCTAAACCACTCTAGGCAGCAGTTGAGCTCATTCTAGAAATAGAAAGTGTATGGCAATGCAGACATGGGATCCAGCTCTGGAGACCGGACAGCAAATACTTCCTTTGTGGCCCATAAGCAGCCAGTCATTCAGTGAGGGCTGCTGAAACACTGCCCTTCCTGTGTATTGTAAAGTGTTTCCCCCTGGAAAAGTTCTCTCTCCTCCTGCTGGAACTGCTCCCATTTCTTGAGTGTTTTCAATACAGCCCTCATCTTTTGTTCTCCAAAGCTGTAAACTTTCCCATTCTATGCTATTAACTCTTTTTCCACTTCCAGTGCCACTTTACACAGCCCTTACAACTGGAATTTACAGACAACATAGTTTGGAAACAAACAAAACGTGCATCGACATGCATCATCCCTGGCAGACCCTCACACCTCCAACTAACTGCTATACAATGAGACTACGAAAGCTGTTGCACTTCATTTTTTAATATTAATCTAGTACTCTCTGATTCACAATGCTTTGAGCATGCCCTATTGATTTTTATATAAAACATTGTTTTAGAGTAATAGGAAAACCCTTCAATTTCAAGGTAGGAAATAATACAGTGGATGTCAACAGGGAATAAATAATTACTACAGAAAGTAAGGATCTTGGAAAAATCTGAGTTACAGTTCCAGATCACATATATGACTGCAACTTTGTTAGCTACTAGAGATAAAAGGAAAAAGGACACTCAATGAAAAATATTCACCTAATTTAAAGTCAAAGGCTGAAAAAGCATGGTCTCTAAGAGAATCTGAAGATAAAGATAAAAATAAATGATTTATAAAACTCTCCGGCATCTCAACCTCCTCAGCTTTATGAGTTAATAAAAGACCTTTTCTTTGCACAGTGATTATATGCAAAGCTTTGCCTTATACTGCTGTTACATATGCACAACGAACATCTTAATGTATTTTTTGTAATAGTACCTGAAGTCTATTTTATAGATCTTTCAATAACCAACAGTGTATGACTGGTTACCTTATGCATAAATGCAACAAAGTAAAGCCCAATGTTCCATTAGTTATTTATCAAAGTTCTTCCCAACGTTATGTTGTGACCCTTCATAGTTATTTATCTGTAAGCTCACATAGCCAGATCCCAAAACATAGGCAAAAAACAACAAGGTCAAGCCTGTATTACCATGATAGAGAGGCTGATGAGGGAGGTGTACAGCTCAGGCTGAGAAAGGTGGCTAAAAGGAATAAGATAAAAATAGAAACAGGACTCAGTGGGGTGGAGAGGAAGTACTGCACAACAGTGAGAGTTTTTTGGTAAAGGTTAAAAATAGTGAAGAAACAAGCTGTCTAAGAAAAGCAGGGAATGGTGGCTACTTCTGTGCTCATATAAGGCCATGATTCACCCTGTATCATGGACATACACATTAGTACATATTTTGCTCAACACCAGAGTGGGAGCAAACTAGACCTTTAATGTTTTCAGAACAGCTGCTTACCTGACACAGAAAGTTACTTATACTCAGGTTTCTAATTCTCATATCAGGCCAGACTCGTCAAAACAAGTTTTAGATCCCTATCCTATAATCAGATCCTGCACTCCAGGGTAACTTCAGTCAAGCTTCTTGAT